ACCGTGGTTGGAAATCCCAGTGGGATGCCCGAGGGGGGGTGGGGTGGGGTGTACAGGCCTCGTCCCCCTCCTTCATCACACACAGACGTGAGTGCAGGACAGCATGTCACTGATCTGGACTCTCTACTATCCCAGGCATGAAAGGGAAGGGCTGCATCAAGTGATATACAGTGGGAGAGAATCAATGCCTGTCATGACATCATGTTATGAATGGCCAAGGTCACTTTCTAGGTCATATTTTAGTAGTGGAGGTGGAGTTCTCTAAATGGGAAAACAAGTCTTATTTAAGCGTCTTAATTAAGGAACTCGCACCGTGAGGGATTTCAGAGCAGATGTCAGAAGTCTTCCAATTTAATAGTGGAAGTCCATAATCCTCATAGCCATGTTTCTTAATACCCTCAACCATATTTATTTGATTTTTCTTGCTGTTTTTCCCTTTTTTGTGCTGTTTTTTAAAAATATTTTATTCTGAATATCAGTCAGAGTACTCCTGGTTACATAAAGGTTACACAAAATGTAATAGTTCATAATTAATGTTTGTATGCTACCATTAGTATCACTGAATACCATATCTTAAAGGAGCACTTCAGTGTTTTAGCATTATACTTCCATAAATAAAGTGAACTTGGAAGATACTTATTTTCAAAATAATGGTCCAAAGGACGACGGGTCAGGCTTTAAAGACTCTTCCTCGAGTTTAATAAATAAGCTTTCTGTTATGTATTTGTAACTTCAAATCCCAACCCGAGATGCCGATAACATCATCAGGATGATTATTCCCAGAAGTCAGAAAGCAGCATTTGAGTAACAAGCAGCTGCTCAAAAACCTTTTTTCAGAAATTTAATTTTCACCCAGCACAAACTAATAATGTTCTTTCTAATAGCACAGCTTGTTCTTTTAGGTTTCTGTCTGTTCTCAAAAAATTAAATGTCTCTTTATTGCAATTTCTTTTTCTCCGCTTTAAAGGATTGACCTTCCTCCGACACACAAGCCGCCCCCTCCCTACTCTGAGAGAGCGCCGGCCATCCCCCTGGGGGTCCACGCATCACAAGTGGCCTGGCTCTGTCAGGTAAAGCCCCGCTCCCTTTCATAAGGGCTTTATCATCACGTTGGTGCATCTGAATCATCACATACTTATCATTACACCACCAATATGAACTCTTGGTGAGATGACTGCTGAGTCACAACAGGAAGTAATAACAACCTGAGCCATTCCATTATCTGTTTATCAAGCAGAAGGCCTAATGGCTGTCCTCATTTAATATGTAGCATGGTTTAATTTTTAATTTGTGTGCTCAGCTCACCTCCAGCTATCATAAGCCTGCACTTATTTTAGTCTCACCCAAAACTTTTCCTGTTTCTTTCAGGTCAATCACAAGAGTATATAAAACTATTTTGTCTCAAGAAAGAGCAGTCACGCTATGTTTGATTATTTTTTTAACCAGCAGAGTCGCAGGGCAGAGCGCAGGCACGAGCTGAGTGACAGGCAGCCCCCTCCACCCGCAACAAGGCCGGGACCACCGGCAGCTCAAAGCCCCACCCAGCGGCTGTCCCGCCTGCAGTGGGTGTGTCATCAGAGTGGGACAGACCGGGTCTACATCAACCACCGAGAACACTATGTGTGACTGTCATACAGAGAGTCCAGGCTTCACCCTGAATCACTGAGCCGTCAATCCAGAGGAGGGAACAGCTGGCCGCCTCAGAGAGGGAGTGTTCCTCACACACACTTTCATTACCTTTTATTTCACATCGTTAAATGTTATTTGTCCTAAAGGATGGTTCAACGTTTTGGTAAATTAGTTTATTAGCTTTCTTGTTGAAGCTGTAGCCAGGTGACACTTATCTTTGCTTAGTATATGATTTAAAATTACCTGGCACTCTCCGGTGATAAAAAAAAATCTGTCTACCTTTAACGGAGATTAAAGGGAACTCACCTTTTCAGTGCTTCTCCACATTCATTTGAGTATGTGGAGAACCCACTACACTACTATCAGTATTTTATCGGCTTCCAATATCATAATATTCTCATTAGAATACACCACTCCCCATTTGAGTGTTTCAACAATGGTGTGACAACTACCTTTGAAAGGGTGCACCATATTTTTCTCACAAGCCAATCAGAGCACTCTTGGGTTTTTCAACTGGGGCACCTAAAGAGACAACAGAGCGTTTTAGAAACAGGGTGGATACAGGTATATTCAGACAGACAATGCAGAGGAAAATTATGATTTTGTTAACATTTAATCATTTAAATATGTTACGGTAGACACTCAAAAAAACAGAATGAACCTACAAATATAGATATGTGACCTTTTAAGCAAACAAGATTTAATGTGGTGATTTTAGAGGTTTGGTATGAGTATTTTGTTTTTCACCTTCAGACAGAGACAAACAAGTTGTTTCCAACTGCTTCTAGTCATTCTGCTATGCTAAGCTAACCCCTTTCTAGCTTAAGCTTCATATGTACAGTACATTACAGACGCAGGAGTGGTATCGATCTATTCAAAGTGAGTAAGTGCACTTCTTAAATGTTGAACTGCTTATTGAATTATTTGTTCTTATTTCAGATGTCCTTAAGACTATTTATTTAGTGTTCGATATCATTGAGGAAACAAGTTATGCTTTAGAAATCACAGCAAACATTCAGACTATTTGCCCCTCAATCAGCTTGTGCTCTATACTGTACAAGTGTAGAAAGAAAACTTTTTTGTTATCCAACAAAATTTGAATACTGTTTTTTATTTTATTTTATCAGAGAGGCTACCACAGTGCATACATCTGAGACTCTACTCTCAGGCATATCACTAGACCGAACCCCGCAAGATCCAAACAGCTTAGGTCCACTGAGACCAAATGTACTAACTGCAACACAGACCATGAAGGGATTAAATTAGGTATTTCTGTCCCAGCTCTGTGATGTGCTGCTGTAATGTTATGACTCAATGCTTTTTGGCAACTGTACAGTAGATTTGTAAATGAGTAAATGTAGCCTCTGTGTCAATGTTATTATGTAGAGTCATAACCTCTTACTAATCAGGGAAACAGTAGTATGAGATGTTTCTGACGTCAGTCCTTTTTATATATACATACTGTAGAAAATATGTAAACTATTATTTTTGTGGCGAGGAGCTGACGACATACTTAATATACTGTTTAATATGTTTGACTTTTACCTGAATGATTGAAGTGCCATAATGATATGTTAGGGGTGTTCCCTCTAAGTTTAGTATGCTGTAGTTTTTTACATTTCTTTATTTTTTACAATATCATCATGAGCCGCTTTCATGTTTGATTTAAGTATTACAATTAACAAATAAATGCATAACATTTGCACCAGTCAGACATGATCTGTTCTTACTTTGTATAATCAGACTGCACTTCAAGACGTTGATGCAAAAGACTTCTGAAACAGTGAGGGGTGGAAGCTCTGAGTCACTTTATGTGGAAACAAAGGAAAAAGTCCTTGAAGATTTTTAAATGACGTGTGGAGGATTTTTGAGGTAAATTTATCTCAAGGTCACAGTCACATTGTGATTCTCACGACAGAGAGAAAAGAGCTGTTTCTAATACCAGGAAACATGTTGTGTAGATAATGTTTGTATGGAGCCCACATTGCAGTGATGGTATACATGTTTGTCAGGATCCATTTATATCTGGGCATCAGTGACAGTCAGTGATCAGTGGGTTTCTCCTTGCTCTCGTCAAGAGGGTAGCTGACACTCTCCAAGAGCAACACCTAGTGGTCAAACATGGTGGTGCAGCCCCTGATGGTGAGTACTACACTCCCTGACCATATGAAGTAAATATGACATTTGGCTGCAAATGTCATATTGTCTTACTGTATTTGATTAACATTTGGTTATGCATTTAGATTATAGGGTAAGTAACTCACGTAGACAAGCCTAATTGATTTTGTGTGTTTCTCAGACTAAAGCACAGGCAGTAATATCAAGTGTAAAAGAAAAAAATCACAATACTTTCTCCGTAGCGTGGATTTAAACAAAACTGTTCATCATAATTGAATATAATTATTTATTTTTTAATTCGAAAGCAGTGTTCAAAGAAACATCTCAGAAATACTTCACAACAAAAGCCCTGCTTTTAAAGCTATACTAAAGTAAAGATATGTAAGTATTATCAGCTAAACATACTTAAAGTATCAAAAGCAGTATTGTGCTGTTCGTTTTTTTCACAAGACTTCGTCATATTAAATAAATGTAACAACAGTAACAGTTGACAAAGGAATTAAAGATTAACCCTAAGCACCCTGTATTTTTACTAAACACATGTTATTGGGGAGCAACATAACAATAGGAAATTACAATACAAAATATGAAATACCTATAGAAATAAGTCATTCTACAACAAGAGATAAAAGTGGCAACATTAAAAGAAAAAACGCAGTTCGGGTTAAGCTCTCCAGTTTACAGCTAACACTGCTCACAGCTTTGGAAAATTACATTTTTATAGAAAATGTTGACCCTTTTTTTTTTCAATAAATACTGAAACTACCACAGTCCTATTTTTAGGCTGGGGTTCATATTTTGTTATGACATTAAATAACATCAGTTAATTAAGACATGTTAGTATGACTGCTCTGCGATTTAAGATCTGAAACTCCGACCACTAGAGGACACTAGTCACCAACATTAATCTGACATGCTAACAGTAGCTAACAGCGTACGGTCTACTCTACAGGCTCAGGTTTGGCAGCTAAAACCGTACACTGGGCAGAGTGAGGGATAAATAAGGGAATAGTGCACCCCGAATTTAAATTATACTCTTTCTCACATGTCTTACAGTTAAAGCATTTAAAAGTTTTGATTACAATGTCACAATGAGGGAACAAAAAAGTCCACACATGTCCATAAACTGTTCACATAGGCCTACAATGCAGCGCTCACTGAAGAGCCACTAGTGGAGATACATTAAAGGCAAATCTCCATCATAAATATATTGACACAATTTAACAATATATATATTGTTAAATTGTGTAGCAGCTTTCAACGTGTCCTGCAGCACCACTGGTTGAATGACTTATGCAATGACAATGTGAAAATCGCTTTCTCTCTTTAAGGTTTCTTCGACCTTTTTTAATTGTTTTGTTGTTGTAGTTTTATCTAATTAAATGTCCTCTTAAGGCAGGTTATAGTGCGACTGGTTTACACTATTATGCAACTGAAACAGGGTATCTGGTCATAGCTATTTATAGTTATGTACAACTTAAGACTCATGTAGGCAACTTAACACTAACCAAGGTGATGTACAATTTCTTCAGGAGTATTTGAAAAAGTAAAAAAAAAAGATTTTGGCAAGCTTAAAGCAGCTACAATCAATATGTTAACATTACAAGTTGCTTCCAGTAACAAAGCCATATAATTATTCAATTAGCCCTTCAGAGCATTTTACTATCTTTCAGCATATTGTTTTGGCTTACTTGACCACAAGTTCATTGTTTCGATTGGGAACAAAGGATAGCTAAAATATTAAAATACATTTTATTTTTCGTGGCAAGAAACCATACTCCAAATTAATGATGCATTGTTTTGTGTCAGCTGGAAGCACCAACAAGTTAGCATTCACAAGTTAATTGATGCAGCTTTTAAAATGTTAATGGGCTTGTTTACTGACATTTTGTTTTTGTCAATAAGGACGTGGTAAAAAGCAGAACCCAGCTGAAATAGTAGTGAATATCTATCCACAGGCTGACACAAAACATGTGTTGGCCTGTTAGTGTTTTAACCAGGAGGTGAAATATGAGAGCAGAAATAAAGTTGTCCTATCTGCAAATTAATTAAAAATGCTTCTGTTATGTGCTTAAATCAGTCCAATTTGAATTTACTGCTGAGTTTAAATTGCTCTCACTTCTTTTGTTCCTGCACTTTATATCTTTAATAACTAATCTGCCCCATGAGCAGCAGCAGGTCAGTTTTTACCTGATTAAATGCAATTAGCATGAACAGCATATGACATATATCCTCATTATTTCTCATTAAACTCTCATAAAAGTTGCAAGGTGTTGCTTTTTAAAATATATCTAACTTAGCAAGCAAAAAAAACATTAATGTTAATTAATAGCAGCATGTCAGATGTATTCTACCAAGTTTACAATTTATGGTGCTGCATAGACATAATGAGAGCAGCAATAATGCTTCGGTGGTTCATTATGAATAATTCTGCAGTTCAACAGGAACATGGAGCTCCCTGTAAAAATAGACCTGTTATCAAAGAAAAAACACACGGTGGTATTCTGCCCCTGCTTAGAGTATGTGAGTGTGAACTGGTTATATTAAACATTGCCTACAAACAGCATCTCAGTAAATGAAATTCTTCTCCTCATACACTTCCACTCTTTCTTTGTGAGTGAAAGGCAGCTTTGTTTCAGCTGTCAGGATCAATTATATCTTGCTTCTATTAATGAACATCATGGTGGAGAAATGGAAATGAGCCGGCTCTCAAAGTGGCCCCACAGATGATGTAACCATTCCAACATTTTCCGAATCCCAAATCGTGGGTGCTTTCAAACACTTGACCAACCAGTTACTTTGCCTTGGCTTTCTGTTTGGGAGCCGGTGCAGCTGCAGGGGCAGGTGCAGGTTTTGTGGCAGGTTCAGGAGCAGAAGAGGGTCTCACCTTGTGATACAGACTGAGGAAACTGCAACAAAACAGCAGCATCAACATAAAGATGGTCATAATTTGTTACCATGAGAAGATTTTGCAAATAGAAGGTAACTTACAGGTCTTTGATTTTCTTTACAAAAGCTTTGACCGCTCTAACCATCCTCCTTAAACGCATCTGTCAACAAAATGATACACAGGTAAGAGTTTAAAGCTTTTCTTTAACTTTTGTTTATGTGGTGAGGAGTCTTTTTCACCCTGGACCCGAATATTCAGCCTATTGCTGGCTGGGTATGTATTTAGTTTGCAGATGTCCATCACATGAGAGGTCAATAAAGGTATTCAGGAACACTCTACACAATTTACATGTATAAATTGTGTTACTAGTTTATCACCATTATTATGTTTTGCTGGAGTAGGCCTACTGCAGTTTAGTGAATGATATTGATTATATTAAAAAAAATGAACTTACCTTGTTCTTTTTGTACAACAGAGGAACGGAGAAAACAACGATCACGGCTGTTAAACAAAGACAAAAGAGAAACCATTTCAGTACCAAGGTGTCGGTTAATATGGAAGCACTGAGAGGCAAAGGAGGGAAGAAAAATCCGGTGATCCATTTTAATCGTCTAATCTTAGATGATTCATCTACTGAATAAATGACTAGAAGAACAGGGAAAAATAAAGCTTTTGCCAGGATCATCTTACTAAGCTCCCTAAATAAATCATCTGTGAAATAGGTCAGAATGAACGCTTTTCAAAGGTGGAAGTTCACTATGTTGTGTTTTTCTAATACTCATTTTGGCCACAGGAGGAAAAAGTGCACCACTACCTTATTATCTTAGAATTAAAAGCATGTCTTCTTCTAGGTGTACTACACAAGGCCAATATATTAATATCAATATAAAACATTTTTAGTCAAGACATGACATATGTAACATAACTTGCTAACACAATATATTTACTTTGTATGTACCTTAAGGCCTTTCAGAGCTTCCATATCTCATTTAAATGTAGTTCTTATTTGAATTATATGGCACACAACCCTCTCTAAGCAGAGTGGGGTTTTGGATTATGGTATGACACTCTTTGGTGTCTTTGATGTTGAAACAGGACATTTTAAACTTTGTTTTCTCTCTCTTTTCAGAGTTTGATTCTTTAAACTGTGTCTATGATCATCCCCAAGTAGTCTTTTATTTTGCAAAGATCTCACCAAACTGTAATCATGGCGTTGGCAGATCAAAAAACCCTATTGGAATAAAATAACTCACCAGTTATCACCAGAGTCAGGCCACTGGTAAAGACCCCAACATAAGTCAGCAGATACAGGAGCAGGACGAACTGAGAGAGCACCGGAAAGAAATGTTGATAACAAATGAGTCCCTTAGAGTGATTGTGAGAACAAACACCCTTCATTAGCTCTGTGAAGTTGAGCAACGCTCCCATACATGCTGACCTGTCATCATACCACTTTCAGGTTTTATGATCAGTTTGTGTTCATACATTATCATTATTTTATCCTCACACCCTGACCTTAATGGAGTCTATCACGTTCTCAATAAAAATCAGCCGTTTAATTTCTGTGAGGGCAAATGCGATCATCAGGACCACCTCCTCCACCAGCATCACTGTCTCCCTGTCTGTCAGAGAGCTGTCATGGTTCAGAGACGACCTGAAGCAGAGACACATACACAAGCCTCAGAAACACAAATAATACAAAACTATCAAACAGAGGTGATGTTGGTTTTAGGTTGGATATCGACAGTCATTCAAGCCTTATATATTGTCATGAAAATGAATCAGTTTCTTTATTGAAAAGGCTTTTTAAATAGCTTCCATGTCATGTGACCGAGCGACTCCAAATCATTACAGCATTGTATTACAACACTGGATGCCATGACTCTTTTTATTTGACCCTTGTTCTTTCTTTTAATTAAAAACTCTAATAAGCTTCCTTTTAATGAGACCGTGTGACTCAAAGTCAATGCAGCATTGTATAACTTTACTTGATGGGTAGGATACACACATTTTCTATTGGGTTTCAATGTTTTTTCAACTTTATATGAATATTGAATACAATTCAGCTCTTTTATTGAAAAGTATCATATTTGTTCAATACACTCCAGGTTCAGGTGTATTCATCTTGTCCAGTGTAAAACAATACTGCATTGATTTAGAGAAACTGGGTCACATGATATGGTAGCTATTGAAAAAAAATCAAAGACTTTTCAATTAGTAATGCCTTTAACACTACATGAACCATTCTAAAACAGTATGAGAATTAGGTTTGAAGTTAAATGTATCTTGATAAAAGCATATGTGGGAATAAATCAATGTTGACAGACTCACTCAAAGGGGTGAACCCCGGGGTTCCAGCGCAGCAGCTCCAGCAGTTTGTAGTAGAGGCGGAGGGTGAAGGTGACAGCCATGACACCCAGACAGATGTGTGAGATCACGGTGATGGCGCTGAGCTGGAACAGACTGGCCAGACTCATCACCAGACCTGTGAACACCACACCGGTCCTCCTCAACTTCCGCCAATACACCAGATCAACGACTGCAGAAGAGGACGCACATGACAGGAGCAGAAAATGAAATGAATTACTGATGATGCGTGATTGTCAGAGGGAAAAACTGTGACAGAGATGTGAAGTTTGTAGATCATCTATCCTCCATACAAAGTCAGGCCTTGGACCGTTAGATATGGCACATAGTTGTGGCAATCACAACTCACAAATCACATTTGTATTGTATACATATAGATTTATTTGGACACCAATTAGCCACCAATATGTGATGGCAATACCTTCCATTTCCATTCCTCAAAGCATTGCAGTATATTGAATTGCATTTTTCTTTGAGCCAGGAAGTAAATAACAACAATGCATGTGTAAAAGTTATGGTCATAAAGAGGCTCAGACTTTGTTTTATTTAGCTTCATATCAGTCAAATCAAATGCCTATGAAGCTGACACCATTTGAACCAGCAGTACGCGTATTTGATTCCAACTCCATATATAAAAAAACAGAATATCTTCTATCTTCCTTTGTTTATTACAAACAGTCTCATGTCTCTCCCTCTGTGCCAAAGAAGCTTTACTTATATGAAGGTAAATGAGGGAAAAATGGACACCAGGTAATTTAAATAAATACATTTTGAGATGTCTAAGAGGTGTGAATAATTGACCCGCTCCTTTGTGACACGTTGTCTATATGGCTTTAAAAACATATTGTTCTCTATTCAGTAATCCCTATTTACATTCAGTACAACATTGGTCATTTCTACAATGGCGTACAGTTCATGGGACTGTGTTGAGAGTAAATATTGCCTGTTCAAATACATCCATAGAAGAAGCATCTTGTTATTCACCTCCTTCCTTCCCGGAAAATATATGTTTTTAGGAATAAATGTGCATCTACACAAGTGCATTGCTTTTAATGATGCACTTTACACATGACTTAATGAATTATAAATAAAGCAATAAGCATGCAATGATTCACTGGTTATGAGATCTTCAAACTCTAAGCTGTTGAATGATCCTCCCAGCTCCTATGATAATCTTAAGGTATAATCAATTTAAAACAAACACTTAAACATGTATACACACATCAATAACAAGTTGTCTTCATTAAGACAATTTACTAGCAACTGAGTCATGCATTTACACACACACACACACACACACACACACACACACACACACACACACACACACACACACACACACACACACACACACACACACACACACACACCAGCAACATATTTTCACAATCAGGCACCATTACTGTCACATCTATTAAGTAATTTTACCAGCATGGCATAACCTGATCCTGATGCCAAAAATAAAATAATACGAAATAAATACCATCTTAAAATAGCGCTGAAAATAAAACACTTATCAATCTTCTATTCTTATGGGACAAACTGGACCTTTAAGAATGAAACTAACAAACAACATTCAATCAGCGACAGGCTCTCATTTAGCTGAGTCCCATCTGTCTGCCGAATGAAAGACATGTAGGACTCAGTATTTGACTGGTCATCCTGTCTGAATTCACACCTGCTCAGCAGAGGAGGGAAACTAAACTTTCTCTCCCTCCTCCACCGGACAGCTGCCCAGCTCCCTGTCTGCTCTGATTCACTCTACTTAAAGCTGTCACTGTTTATTTCCTTACCTTTGGTGGCCATTTCAGCGACGATCCTGCTTGCTTTCCCCTCTTCCTTGAGCTCCCACTGTTGGCTCGCACTCCAGGCTTTTTTTGGCCACCCCAGCTCCGTCAGCAATATAAGGCCTGGCTGGCCTAATTTTATCCTGTATTGGATACCCCCTGTTTGCATTCACTCACACACACACACACACACACACACACACACACACACACACACACACACACACACACACACACACACACACACACACACACACACACACACACACACAAACACACACAAACACACACATTGGGAACCTGAGACATCAGCATGTACATGTATCCTCAGCTCTCAGAGGCTGTCATGGTTCCTCAGCCATTTGGTGGCCGACCTGCACTCAGAGGCCTCCACATGCAGCCACGTCAGTGAACACAGCTTCAGTAGGCTGCTATCTCCTGCAGTGATTCTCAAATGGGGGTACGCGGACCCCTAGGGGTACGTTGGGGTACTGCAGGGGGTACGTGAGGTTAAAATAAATAAAAAGGTTAATTAAAAAAATACCATGCATGATTACAAAAAGAATCTTAGTACAATAATTTAAATAGAAAACACAATTTTATATAAAATATTCCTAGAACCACCAAGGGGGTCCTCATATAAACATGCTACATTTGTGTATTGTATTTATAGTTTTTAATAATATATCATTTTGTTCATTGGTTTGTTAAACAGATATTAATTCAATTGAAAAATCTTTTTTTTCATGCATAAAGATGAAAATATCCTTAGTTTGTTGTAATTCATGCAGTTAATCAATCAAACAATGATGGAACATCACTATATTGTAATTATTTATATAGGCTTTTTCTGTCAAAAATGTCCGGGCAGTCAGGGGGTACTTGGCTGAGAAAATGTTTCAAAGGGGGTACATTACTGAAAAAAGTTTGAGAAGCACTGTCCTACAGTACTCGTTAAAAACCCTATGGCTTTATAATTGAGCTTAAATAAGACACACTGCATACTCTAATAGAAAAAGGATAGACATTTTCAACAACATTTTAAATGATTGACAGAACGACTGCAGGGAATTTTTCTCAGCTTGGATCTTTATGTGAGAATTATGTATGTTCAGTTCAGCTTCAGCAATGCAACACTATAACTCACATGTTATTGTTACTAGGATATTGATTTATAATTTAATAGCAATATGCTTCGATTCAGATATCCAAACGTTGCAGGCAGATTGCTATGTCTACTGTATGTCTCAGTCATATAAGAATATGAATCAGCTATGTATGTGCACACAGTAGAGAATTGTACTGCAGTAGTTTGCATTGCAGTGCACTTACAACAAAATAGGCAAAAACAGCCAGAGACAACAAAGCTGGACAAATTAGTGAAAAATATATAAATATTATACGAATAAATAATATAAGCAACCATTTCCAAAAAGAAACAATGTAATAAAATGTATATATAAATGTTCTGTGAGTTTTCAAAATATAATAATAATAATAATAATAACACTAATAATAATAATAAATAAATATATTCAGATTATGGTTAAAGCACGATAAATACTGTATGTCACAGATTATAAGGAAGGATATTTGTTAGCACTGTTACAGAGAGTCCCTCCCATTTGTTTGTGAAATTCCTCCAGATTATTCATTTGGCTTCAGTATCATGTGCCTGCTCAAACTCATGCACAGCTGCCAAACCGCAGATGTTGCAGCTGTGAATAAAGATGTCCCTCTGCCCATTTGAGCCCTTCAAAATAACACATTTTGCAGGTGTGAGACTGTAATCTGTACTGATATCTCCTTGGCACACAACAACTCAGAGGTTTGTTTCTATTGCTGCTTTAAAACCACCATGACAAGTGACATGTGATTTAATGTCTGAAACATTTCCAGCACGACTGGCAGAGCGTCAGTGCATGAATCCAAGTACGTGGAGAATTACAGAGAGCAGCAAAGTCATCCTGCATGACTCAATAGATTTAAGCTGTTATTTGGGAAATGGTGCCAAACAAAACAGCTGTTGGTTATGTTGTGATGCACAATCATACAAAATCTCATTTTCTGCTTCTTGAAAATAAATGAAACATGCAGCAATCTGTCCTCCTTTATCTCTATTGAATTATTCTCTGTATAAATACACATTTGTGGCTAATAAGTTTGTATTCTCTGCCATTTTATTTTAGAATTTAAATTACAACTATTTTACACATCAGCCTATAGCACATTTTGTTTGATGGCGACACTAAATTCCATAGGAAGAAAAAATATCTGCATCAAGTTATCCACAAAATAAGAATAAAAAATGAAACAATACAAACATATTTCAAGTTTGGCAGACCAAATGTCTTACAATGTATTACATTACCGACATTTTAGATAAAAAACTATGAAAGCAATTTTACTCATAATTAAAGATGTAATGCAGCACTGACAGGAACTGTACATGCCATGTTTAAAGTGAAATATCAGGGATTATGTGTGTGCATAATGCAAATAACCCTTTCCCCCCGTGAGTAAACACTGTGTGCTAAATAGCCGACCGTGCTGTAATCCACAGCCGTGCCAGCTCATAATCCCAACCGATCAAAGGTAGAGATTACCATTACCCAACATGTGTAACAGGCAGAGCAGCAGATTGGAGGACGGAGAGGGAGAGGCTGAGCTCCAACGGTACAGCAGAGATACAAGCTAAGCAGGGATTGGAGAACAAAAATAGCCAGCCAATCCTGGCAGACGTAGGGAAAATAACAAGGGGAGCTACAGTGAAGGAGGGAAGAGCTATGAGAAAGAAAGAAAGGAGGTGAAATCACAGCAGCAAGAAGGAGAGACCAAAACAAGAAAGAGAGGGAGGATGAGTGGAGGAGAGAGCGCCGATTAGTAAGGTCTCCAGAGAGGAGAGGAAGGAGATGAGCAGGGAGAGGGGGGTGAGTAGAAGCCAGCACTGAGAACATCTATCAGGCAGCCATGCTCTGAGCCCTGGAGCAGCCGGGGCTACGCAGACAGGCCCAGCATCAGGCCCAGCCACAAACACTGAGGCCGGGATAAAAAGAGATTCGTCTAACAGCAGCCGTGCAGCAGAGCCATGAGGACATCCAGGAAGGGTAACGTGGAAATGCCTGCTTTTATGAGGCATCTGGTGAAAGAGACGGAGAAGAGGGTCAGCTCTTTCTTCAAAGGGGGTCGTGGAGGAGCAGCAGAGGGAGAACATCCAGTGGAGGGGGAGAGGGAGGAGGTCATCCCCAGCCCCTACCTGGACCGGCCAGTCATGGACAAGCTGACCGAGGAGGGCTGCGCCCGCTGGGGCCTCACCTACGCCCTGGGGAGCATGCAGGGCTGGAGGGCCAGCATGGAGGACTTCCACAACTGTGTGCCACAGCTGGGTGGAGAGCTGGCAGACTGGAGCTTCTTCGCTGTGTTTGATGGTCATGCAGGCAACACGGTGGCACAGTACTGCTCCCAGCACCTTCTGGGTCAGATCCTCGCCACAGGTGAAAGAGCTGAAACTGAACACGTGGGAATAATATATTTTTTCCTGTAGAAAAGTCTCTTGTTGCAGTTATCCTCTCTCATGAAACTCTCCATATTACTGTCTTATTCAATGCAATAATGTGTTTTACGGAACACAGAAAACACTAAGTATTCCAACACTGTATTTGTTTGTGCACACAGGTGGGATAGGACCAGAGGACGACCCTGAAAGGGTGAAAGGAGCCATCATTGACGGCTTCCTGCACACAGACAGGCATCTGCACTCTGTGGCCCGTCGAGAAGGCTGGGAGAGGGGTGGCACCACTGTGGTGGCCGCTCTAATCTCACCGTATTACATCTACTTTGCTAACTGTGGCGACTCCAGGGCCATGCTCTGTCGGTCTGGCCAGGTATGCTTCTCCACTGAGGACCACAAACCTTACTGCCCTCTGGAGAAAGAGCGCATTGAGAGCGCAGGCGGCACTGTGTCCATCCAAAGGATCAACGGCTCCCTGGCAGTGTCTCGAGCTCTGGGGGACTTCAGCTACAAGGGAGCAGAGAACAGGATGCCCACGGAGCAGATGGTATCACCAGAGCCGGAGGTGTGCGTGGTGGAGCGCTCGCCAGCCGATGAGTTCCTGGTGCTCGCCTGCGACGGGGTGTGGGATATCATCAGCAATGAGGAGCTGTGTGCCTTCATCCACAACCGGCTGAGTGTCTGCACTGACCTAAGGGACGTCTGCACTCAAGTCATTGACCTCTGTCTATATAAGGTCAGGACCAGCTGCTTAAAACCAGTGTGCATGTAGTCATAGTCCCTTTATTACATTTCTACATGTCCAGTAGTTTCACTAGCAAATCCTTTTAACTGACCTAAACACAAAACACAATTCCAGGGTGAAGCTATGTTGCATAATTTTTAATGGGCAGTGGATTTTATATAATAACATAAGCCCTTGAACTGTGACTGTACTGAGTTTTAGCTTGAGCTGAAAGCTGTTGTGGTCATTCCAGTCATTGAGGAAAAAAAACGGAGCTTTATGAAAATAGCTCATGGACAGTTTCTTAACGATTAATAGTACATATGCCTAACTAACCACTCCCAATCAATCTAAATATATTTCCCTCAGTCCAAGGTGGGAAAACACCTTTCCTTATATCTAACCTTTTCTTCCCAACAGCTTTGATTAGACCAGTACAACATGAGGGAACTTGTGTGTGTAATTGGGACTAACTGTTTTAGTGTGGAGTTCCTCAGGGGTGTATGCTAGATACCCTGTTTTTTGTATATTAAGAATAGTTGGTCTATTCATACAAAAGGCAAAATGCACTTAATTATACATTTGGAGATATGTTTCCAGCCAGCCAAAGAATATAAATCTTACAATATTCATTTAATTGAGCTCTCTTTAAGTCTCCATCAACTATAAGAGAAACACGTAGCTCTGTTGCTGATTCATCCACTTTCTTCACTGGCTAATCGTTAACTTAACAGTCTGCAGTTTGGTTCTGAGCAAGAAGCAGCTAAAAATTACACTTATGAGAGCAGTGACTATGAAACAAAACAGTACATTTGCATGTTAAAAACAAAACAATTAGCTGAAAGACAATCAAATGCATTTTCTCTATGGGTTTAGGAGTGACATTACATTACATGTCACTTGTTAGACGCGTTTATCC